ATCTGACTGGTACACGAGGAAATTGTTCCTCCTTCTTCAGCAGAGCATCTGGTGGCTTTGAACCGTGGACCTCTGGGATTGCAGTGCAGCTTCTTGCCACTAGGCCACCAGAGCTCGCCTACAATAATGGTTTTATGTGCAACAATGAATAAATGAAAATCCAAAGTCTCTGTAAACTTTCATTAAAATGAATTAAAAATAATGGTTTTATACAGTATTTATTCTTATGCGCTTGTGTTAGTTCACTCAGCATATGTTCTCTAGCCTCTCCCATGTTATATAGCATTTTTTCATAATCATTGCTCCTGAGTGCTAAGTGGTATTACATCTTGTGTATGTATGTATCACAGTTTCACAATTGTGGTATTTACATTTTTATTCTCCTTTTAAAATCTTTTTATTCTCCTAATTTTGGTAATAATCTGAAAACTTAAAGTTTCCAGGACAGTACAGGTGTAATGGGGATTTTATTAATAATCATTTGAGAATAAGAAGAGTCCTGTGTCTACTAATAGCGAAAACTACAATCATAATACCCACTGGCTTAGGGGTGGGGCGCTAGGGACGCGCATGGGGAGACCAGGGTCGGGTATTGGTCAGGGTGAGGCATTGGGATGGGTTGGGGTCCTGGTCAGGGCCAGGTCCTTGGGGGGCGGTGTCCTGGTCAAGGTCAAGTCACGGGTCAGGTTCATGGTGGAGTCCAGGTTAGGTCCAAGTCTCTGATCAGGTTCGAGGTGGGGTCTTGGTCCGGGTCAGGTCTGTGTGGGTGTGTCCTGGTCTCAGGGTCAAGTCTAGGTTCAGGTTCGGGGTAGGATGTCCTGGTTGGAGTCAAGTCTTGGATCGGGGTGGGGTCCTGGTCAGGATCAGGTCTCATCTTGGGGTGGGGGTCCTAGTCAGGGTCAAGTTCAGGGTGGAATCCAGGTCAGGTCTCGGTTGGGGTGGAGTCCTGGAGCAGTGGAGTCCTGATCAGGGTCGGGGTCCGGCAGGGGCGAGGAGAGGGTGCCCCCCCCCTCCCCGCCCCCGCGGTCCCTTTAAAAAGCAGCGCCGCAGGGGGCTGGGCGGATGCCCACGTGACCGGCGCGGGCGGAAGTGGCGCTGCTTCGCTGCCTCGG